GCTTCAGTGGTGGTAGTAGCTTCGACACTGGTAGTAGCTTCGAGAGTGGTAGTAGCTTCGGCACTGGTAGTAGATTCGGCACTGGTAGTAGCTTCGGCACTGGTAGTAGCTTCGGCACTGGTAGTAGCTTCAGTGCTAGTAATAGCTTCAGTGGTGGTAGTAGCTTCAGTGCTAGTAGTAGCTTCGGCACTGGTAGTAGTTTCCGCACTGGTAGTAGCTTCCGCACTGGTAGTAGCTTCAGTGCTAGTAGTAGCTTCGGCACTGGTAGTAGCTTCAGTGCTAGTAGTAACTTCAGTGGTGGTAGTAGCTTCGGCACTGGTAGTAGCTTCGGCACTGGTAGTAGCTTCGGCATTGGTAGTAGCTTCGGCGCTGGTAGTAGCTTCGGCGCTGGTAGTAGCTTCGGCGCTGGTAGTAGCTTCAGTGCTGGTAGTAGCTTCGGCATTGGTAGTAGCTTCGGCATTGGTAGTAGCTTCGGCACTGGTAGTAGCATCAGTGCTGGTAGTAGCTTCAGTGCTGGTAGTAGCTTCAGTGCTGTTAGTAGCTTCAGTAGTTAACTGTGTAGTTGTTGATACAGACGCTGATGGAGTAGTTTTAACCTCATCTTGTGCTAGTATTGGTACTGTGACGAGTAAAGCAGTAAAAAAAGCTATAGTAATAATATTTTTAGACATGAAAAAATTCATGTTAGTTAAAGTGAAATATTTGTGTTAATGATAATTATTTATACTTGTTTGATGTTGTTATTTTTGCATAATATTTTGACTGCTATCATTGATCTTTCTAATTCTTTTGTTTTCAAAAACTTTTCTGTTTCAGTCAAGCATACTTTTTGTTCATAACAAATTATAGAATAGTCTATGCCATTTAAAAATTTTATTTAGTAGGCATTATTAAATTTCATTTAAGTCAACAATCTGCAATGCTTATTTGTATCTTTTCATTATCAATAATCTCATTAATACTTTTGATCGCTTTATGATCTAATATGGATGTATTGCAATTTTAATACTTGCAATCATTTAAAAGTCAATTCTGAATGCACTTGCGATTCTTGGATAAATTATGTTGTCATCAGAAGATATGATGGATCTTACCAGGTATGTTTATGGCCAATCCTGATAAATAACTCATCATAACAGATAAGAATATTTAATATAACGAAGAGTTGCAAAAACTGCCTTGTTATCATGGTCATTATTATTATTTAGTGTTTGGCACTGTCTTTTGTTGAACAATTTCAAATACAAAATAGTTACTCAGTAACTATCACTCTAAATTACTGTTATTTTTTCATAAGCAACAAAAAAATCCTTTCCTTAATAACAATGACATTTTTCCGGTAACTTTTTATTGCTGTAGCCTTTGATAAACTTAGTTTACAAATTATGACTTGTAATTACAAGCACAACTTTTATTCTTCAAGAAATTTTCATATCAAAAAAATATTCAAATGTATTGATCACATATATTTCGCACATTCAAAAGTAATTGTCAGAAATGATCCATTTTTTAGTATATTCTAGACTAAACAAAGAATTAAGCAAGTAAAATGCAGAAATAAAAACATTATTTTCAAACAGAAAAACAACCAAAACATTAATTGAATTTCGACGTATAGAAAAATTTTGCTGTATGGAAAGGTAAACATATTTTTGATGTAAATTGAGATAATCGAATTAATATTTTTAGCTTAATAGAGTCGAAACAATTCAAATATTATCCATTATGTCAATAACAGCATTTAGAAGTTCTGTACTGAAACGATTGATTTGCATAATTCAGCTTTTGATGATTGATTTGCATAAGAAATAAGCTAAAATTATAACAGATATAATAAATTATCAAGCATCAGAATTATGCTAAATAATCCAATATTATTGTTTGACTAATTTTGTAATATCCTCATTGTAATTTGCTAAATTTTCTCTTTATGAATAAAATAAGTAATCTCAATTTTGTGTGAGCATAAACTATACTTAGGACTACAAACTAAAGTTTCTGTTTCTTTTCATAAATTTTCCATTTTTATTTTGTACATTTTTTAGTAATTAAACATAACGGATGCTTTGATTTGTTCACTACATTTGCTTTCATATCAAATCTAATGCTTTTTGTGCAAAAATAATTTCAAAAAAAAATTAATTTGTTTTTTTATCGAAAATATAAAAAAAATTTGAGTAAAAGTTATTTTAGCAATGAAAATGTCGACTGTTCAATTTATTTTTTAAATTTTTGTTAATATTTCTCCATTCTAAAGGTGCTGCTGATTCAAATTGCAAAAATTGCCAGCAAGTATTCACTACCAAAAATTCTTCATATTCCCGCATTTTACCTAAAAACTATTCATAATTTATATAATTGTCTGAAATAATTTTTATTCTTATTTTTGAAAAATATACCCGCAAATTATGATTAATACAAATAAAACATTGGCAGTTACTTAGAAAATTGTTTACTAATAAAAATATTGCATATTAAAGATATGAAAAATGATTTTAATAAGAATTAAATGTAATAACTTAATAGTAACTATTAAGTGTAATAACCTAATAATAACTTTTTCAAATCTTATAAAGATGGAAAATGGCTTACCTGCTAATAAATATTCTCTACAAGTTTTAAGATGTAAACCACACGCTGAAAGATCTTCTGGTGTTAAAACTGTGGTGGAAAAATTGGAGGCATCAAAAGAAGCTGGCATCTGAATATAATTATCAATATTTTATCGTTTATAAGTAGTAATCATTTTTTGATTGTTTTGAGTTTGTCTTAAATTGCTATACAGTAATAATTGTAAAGATTAAAACAGCTAAAAATCATGGTGAATTGAAATATTTAATGACTGAAAATTAATACAAACTGAATTTACCTTAAAGATTTTCAAATGCTTTACAGTATATTCTAGCATTTTGTAATTTGCTTCACTAGAGTTTGCATTTCTTTTTGCTTCTGATGAAGGAAGTTGAACAAGAGACACTAAAACTATTAATTAACTTATTTTCATAAGACTGCAAATTTCGAATAAGAATTAATGAGTATTTTCATTCATTAATTAAGCTACTCATTGATTATTTCGATCAAAAAATATCCACAAAAAAATTAAAATCTCAACTGAAAGAGTTCCTAAAATTATTTCCAGATAGTTTATTTGCTACATAATAATTAATGTATTAATTGAAAATACTCAAACCTCAATATTTTATTAAAAAACGTTTACAAAAACGAACCTCATATTTTTTAATTAACTAATTAATTAATTATTTTTTGTTTTTGTTAAAGAAGTATTATTAAATCAAATTAATGAGTAAAATATCCATACCCCAGTCAGAACTGCAAAAAACTTGATCAAAATCGCTGTACATACACGAGCAGCTCAGTACGCAAACGTTGCAGTAAGTAATAGTAAAAAAAAGATAAAATAATTTACGTAAATTTAGCATTTCCATTATTTCTCTGAAATGCCAATATTTATTCCAAGTCTTTTCCGTAAGTAAATTGGCGTCAGTCTCACGTATTAAATTTCAAACTGATTACGTATCTCCTATATTTTTTTGGTTATTTATATTTTATATAACTTACTTGTCAGGCAGTAAGCTGAAATGAATTATAATTGACAATCAAAGTGGTAATTCATTTTTTACATCTCTATGAGATTCTATGCAAAATTATTACCAAAATAACTTTTATTACAAGTTGATAATGTCACACTCACTTACTAGCTTTATTAGTTGAAAATTTTTCTTTAATTTTTTGGAAATTTGTATAATAATCAACTAATCTTTTTTGTGAGCCTAGCAACTTTCAAAACTGTTCTTTTTGTCTTCTTTCTAACTATACAATAGAAATCCTAGCCTGTTTTTACAAAACTATCTCCAAATTTGGATTCTTTAGCTTGTTGAAGGTAATTTTGAACGATTAACATAACAATTTTAAACATTTCGAACAGATTCACTACAAGAAATAAAAAATATCTGAAGCATTATTGCTCACCGTCAAAAATAATTCTAAGAGATGATTAATTTTTGAATAAAATACCTGGTAATACTTGTGGTATCACATTTGGATAACAGAAGTACTAGTTTTGGAATTACTGAATAAGTCTGAGCTGACAAATATTTTTTTAAAGGTACTTTTAAAGTTAAAGCAAGTAAAGCAAATTACTAATAGTACTTTTAATACTTCTAAAAAATACCTTTTGGAATTAAAATTCTGTAAAACGAAGTAAAACTTACGATATAAATTAGTTTCACTTCTTACACACACTATAAACTGCACTTCTTTAGTCTTTTAAGCAATTTTGCGTAAACCGTACGCGCGATAAATGCATGCACACATTATGATGGCTCGACCTTTCACCCTATTTTGGCTCCAATTTTACTGATCTCCATGGTCACTTCAAAACTAATTTTTGTAATTATAGCCCAAAATAACGCTCAGCCTGTACTTTCTCTTATATTTGATAATTTGAAAATCTCTAAGTGTAGTTATTACCAATTAATCCTTTTTAACTCTAATCGAAGTACTACAATACTCATTACAATAGACAATTGAAATTTAATTGGCTTCCTGCACAGCTTGATATATTCATGCAAAAATATCAAACTTACTTTAGGATATATTCTTATGTAATAAAATTTCATTAAAAAATCTTACACTTTGATTTCAGTTGAATATTATTTTTTCTTGCACTTGATTATTTCTGTAGCCTCTGACACTGACGGATTGACAATTATGATTTGCAGAACATATGCTCAATTATGCTATATAAATTCTTTTTATAAACTAATTAAATACTTCAATACAAATTTATTACTCTTTGCATTTTCTCAAAAAAACTAAACGCTTGAATAAAAACAATTTTTTTCTTTTTTTCTTGCATAAAATTAATGGTCAATCAAGCAGATGAACCTTTGTTTTTAAAAATCTAAAAACTTAATTTAGCAAACTTTCGCAATGAAATTTTAAAAAATTTAAATTTCTCAAATATACAGTACATTTAGACTAAATCCTAACTACAGTAATATTATAACAGAACAGAATAAAAATCTGGTTATAAAAATGCTTTTCGTTTTAGTATAACATTGAGAAACGTTTATGGTGGAAATTTTGACAGCACTTACGATAAAACTTTAAAAATTTAAATTTTTCAAATCTACAGTGTATTTGGAATAGATCCTAACTACAGCAATTTTAATTCTGAAAAACTGAGAAATAAGTAAGATCAAAATTGTTGTAATTTAGTTTTTCACAAGTATTTTGTTTGCATTTAATTGCTCTTTTTCTGAAATTATATTTAAAGAATGGTGGGAATTATTACTAATACAATGAGTATTGATAGTAATTGAACTATTTTACGATACTGAATTATAAGAGAGAGACATATTTATTGCATAATGGACATTTACCGCAAATTCTTCATGATTTTCAATCTTTAGTTTTCTGATGTTTACGATGTATACGGTTTGATTATTTGTGTATTATTCTGAATAGTTCTTGTGCAGTGTGTCATTTTAGTGCTCCACCTGAAGAGGTTTTTTTTTTTTATTTTGCAGTTTAATTCATAATGAGTAAATCACGTAATTAACTTTGTTACGTGAGCTGATGCATTATAATCCAAATTCTATATTCTTGTATTGAAAAGCATATATTTTAACAGCCTGCTAAGCAAAGATGGGATTATCAGATAACGATGTACAGAAGCAACTACGCCATATGATTGCTTTCATTGAACAGGAAGCGATTGAGAAAGCAGAAGAAATTGATGCAAAAGCTGAAGAAGAATTTAACATCGAAAAGGTGGATAAATCATAATATATGTCTAAATTAAATTCTTCACTATTGTACAATATATATTTGGAATATGTACACGTAATCGTTTTATTGTAACTTACCTGTTTTCTTTATCTCGAGAATAAATTTTTGACCGTTTCACTTATCTATCTTGCCTTTGTAACTGACGAATGGCATACCAAATATGTTACTATTGTACTGTATTCATTATTCAGTACAAAAAATTACATTTATTTTTTATTGGTGATTATTTATTCACGAAAGTAAGATATAATGTATTGGTTTTTTCTTGGTAGTTATTCTGAAGTATTATTAATTGCAACAATTAATTTGTATTCAACTTATTTTTTAACTATTTACGAAGTTAACAGTTATAATTTTTTATAAAATTGTATGGAATGTAAACTCTATTAGTGAGCAGGACTTTTTAGTTACTCATTTGATAATTGCTTAAATGCTTTAATTCATTTAAAGTGATTTTTATTATAGGGTCGTCTTGTTCAACAGCAACGAACTAAAATTCTGGATTATTATGAAAAGAAGGAAAAGCAAGTTGAACTGCAGCGAAAAATTCAAAGTTCAAATATGCTTAATCAAGGACGTTTGAAATGCCTTAAAGTATGAATGATTGAATCTTCTTAAGTTTCATTTTCTTGTAGGTATTTAAGAACGCGCATTGCGTAAGAAGATATCGTCATAGATGTAAAATAGCAATAACTGCTACTTTTTTCATTTTATAGGCACGCGAAGATCATTTAAATAAAGTCTTGGAAGAAGCTCGTTCGAACTTGGTTCGAATTTCGGGAGATTCTGCTAGATACCCATCAATTTTAAAAGGCTTAATTTTGCAGGTATTTAGGATTACAAATTATTTTTTTTCTCTGTAATGTTGTGATAATATTTTTGTATGTTTAGGCTTTATTTCAAATGCTTGAACCGGAAGTTTCATTGAGGTGTCGTAAAAAAGATGAAGCACTTGTGCAAGAAATTTTACCGGAGTGTCTCGATGAATTAGAGCAACAGTGGGGAGAACGATCAAAGGTTGGAGAGTCTATTATTATTATCCACATTATTTATCCTACTAATGTTGAGGGATGTAGCATTTATGCCTAGTGCTGATTTGCAATCCATATTTCATAAGTAGCGATTATATCACTGCATATATTAAGTGTGAAACGTAGATGAAAGTTTTTTTAGAATTTCTGGAATTTAATTATATTCCTTCCATTAGTTTAAGTTAGGGAATTTTAGGATGTTTTGTTTATACTGCTAATAAAGTTTAAACAAGTCTTGTTAATTGAAGACAATATTTAAAGAATGAAAGGGAAAAAGACCATGTCAGTTGCAAAATTATATTGTTTTTTGAAGGTTAAAATTGATAAAGGCAATCATTTATCTGAAGATTGTGCGGGTGGAATAGAACTTTCAGCCAAAGATGGCAAGATAAAGGTATCATCAACGTTAGAATCTCGTTTGGATTTAATTGCTGCTCAGGTTTCTTTTTTTACGTTTGGGAAAAAATTTTATAATACATCACTTTTTCAGCCTTTATCTTTATTAATATTCTATCTTTGAATTTAATGTTTAGCTTAATAAGCTTTCAAAAATTATTTATTTTTTGAATCAAATTTCAGCAAAGTGTCTGAATTAGCAATAAATACGCATTTCATTTTTCATAATTATTGCAGATCATACCGCAAATTCGCACAGCTTTGTTTGGTGAAAATCCGAATAGAAAATTCTTCGACTGAAAGTTTTTTACTGACAATACACTATGAGCAAGCCGAAAAGAAACTACGATGGAGCTTGACGTTTTTCCCTAATAATTTATGTGACTGATGGGAATTCCCGCCATTTTTATGCTCTAAAATATGTATGTATTCCATGCAGATTATGAACGGCATGGTTTAATTAATAATATGTACATTATATCCAACTGAACCTGTGAAACCATTTGGAATAGACTCAAAATTTAATGTTGCGATGTTAGGAATATAAAAAAGTGTAATTATTTAACAATTGTTGTAATGTGTGGTGATTGTTAGCATGTTTTTTGTTTATAGAAATTGTAGTGAATCTTTTTCTGTATGCTAATTTCAAGGCTACTCTATCATTCCAGATTTCTTTGATTCATCGGTATCGCAATTTATTGCTGATTAAAATGATTTAGCTGCTCGTCTTACTTAGCATAAGTTACAAGTGGTTGTCAGTAGTCACTTACAGTAATTTGCATTTTCACATTTGTATTGCTAGACGGAAGCAGATTAAAGCGTACGGTCATTTGTGGATGAAATGCATTTTACTTATTGTGTGCTTAGTTCATATTTATGGATTTCAAGGGAACATGGGAGTCAACAGAATTTAGTCGGCATCTTTATTACAGATATCATGTTTAGGGGGGTTTCTGTTAAAGTTACGAAAGCAATTGTACAATTCTAGTTGTGTACCCATCTGTTGCAGGCTATTGTTCATTTGTACAATTTTACTCCTGATGAGTGAACCTGGGTTTGTGGGTATTAAGTTTTGTCCAGAATGGTAGGCTTTTTATCTGTATTCGTTTTGGTATTAGTGATTAGGCTTTATAAGAATATTAAATCGTAGGTCAGTGAGGTTTTGACAAAAATTTGAAATATTGAAAAATAAAATTTTGAAAAACGACTTTTCTGCCATTAGTTGCATTGTGAATTTTGGCTTATATGTGGTTAAATCTTTCTGCTTGGCAAAATTTTAGTAACAATATGTTGTATCCGAAAGAAGACAAGGAAAACAGGCAATTATTGTACGCATGTCGAAACTGTGATCATAAGCAACTCTCGGAGAACCCGTGTATTTACGTTAACAAGTTGATGCATGAAGTGGAGTGAGTTTTTTTATAAATTCATTCCAAATTAGCGATCAAAATGAACTTGATATGGAATTCATTTTTACATTATACTTGCATTTGGAAAGAATTGGTTAGATTACTTTGGTAATATGTTTTTTTGTTTTATTTGCATCCATATTTTTGTGTTCTCGGATTTTAATTCATAAAATTCAATATTTTTTGTTTATTAGAAGTTATTCCATTCTCATGAATAAATGAACTTTGACCTAATTTCATCTTTTTTTCAGACAGCAAGCGTTTTTTTTCCTTTTAGACTTCAAAGTTTTATTTTCAGTGAATTGACGCAAATTGTTGCTGATGTCGTTCATGATCCGACATTACCAAAAACAGAAGATCATCCTTGTCCAATGTGTCAAGGACGAGAAGCTGTATTTTTTCAAGCACAATCTAGAAGAGCTGAGGTATATCAAGTTTACTTTGTTTAAAAATTGTTTCATATAGTATTGAGAGTTTATTATTAAAATTTAATTTAAATCGTAAATACTCCTTAAATATTTTTTATTTAGGAAGAGATGAGGTTGTACTATGTTTGTATGAATCAAAGCTGCGCACATAGGTGGACTGATTAAAATTCTAAGGATTCACAATCATCATCACTTGGATTTTTGAGACTTCTATTTTCAAATATATGTGGCCATGTAGTTCTCTTATCATCATTTTGAATTTAAATTTCAATTTGAATTTGAGGTCAAATTTGTGGTATTGTAATTTTTTCCTCCTTGCAGTCAGTCATCTTATGCTTATTGATGTTTTTATTTTCTGCTTATAAATGCTGTTAGCTTTGCTTTTTACTGCTGATCTAGAGATATCTTTTTTATTTTCATGTGTGGTATGATGTCAGCATTGTATAATTTTTTCATTTTGCCAGACTTAGTATTGGAGAAAATTCTTTTCATTATTCGTTCTTTGGTTCAGTTTATTTGCTGTGCATGCATTTTGTTTGTGCTGAAATACAAAATATAGTAGTATGATTTGATCAATTATGTTATCCGTCTGTTTGTTTTTCAATCAATTTTTATACATAATTTTATATGTACATAATTACTTGTTGGAAGTTGTCAAAAATGATAATAATATCGTTTAAGATATGCGAAATCGTGTTTTTCTCGTTATTCGCATGTTTAACAGCAAAAATTACTGTAGCAAAAATGCACGAGTTACAATAGTAGAGAATGAGATTTTCTGTCCGGAAATGTTATTTTTTCACTAGTAAAAGTTGTAAATGAAAGAGTTAAGTTTTATTTATAACTTTTGTGAGTAGTAAATTACGGCTTTAGGAGGAATATTTGGTAATGAAATTCACATGAGTACTGGTGTAGCAGGATATAAGTCAGAAGCTGTATTTTAGGCTCATAATAGGAAGGCGTTAGTGGTTGGAATGTTGAGGCCAAAAGTACTTACCGAAGTTTTGGGACAAGTTAATACACCAAATACCAAGAGTAGTGCATTTCTTCTAAATCGTGAAGGTTATACCTTTTAATTATAATGTTTAGGTTTAATAAATAGATATTCAGTACTTTTATACAGAATACTCAAAGAAGCAGTCATTAATGAGACTGAGGAAGAAGATTGAGGAGTAATTGATGAGTTGAAAGATGCAATTTAAGATTATCAGTTTTATTTTTGAGACAAACATTATTTAATTTTTAGGCATTCATGATTGATAGTTTATTTTGAAAGGATCAGTTTGGATAGAATAATAGTTTTATATGTGTATTGTCAGTTTTTGCAGGTTTATTGCTTGCTTATAGTGGCTATGATAGTGTTGGTGGTAACGATACAAAAGCAACAATATCTTCAGCATTGATTTCGAATGTTTGGGAAATTTTTGAAAGGCAAGGTAAAGTTTTAAGTGTACATGTTCTAAATTTTTATAAAAAGTTAGAGATATTTAGATTTCTTCTGATTTATTTTATTTTTAAGTTGACTATCGTTGACTTATTCATGATTCCTACTTTTATCATATTCTAGTAAGCGGTTATGAATCATAACATTGGGTTTCTTTTAATGTTCTGAAATATATTTGCCATGTTGTTTGCTTATTTCAACATTTTTGTACATTTAACACTTTGATCAAATAATAATAATAATATGTAGGAAGAGATTTATTTAAAATTGTATAACAAAAATGAAATCTATTGATTTAATAATTTTTTTAGGCATACGTGAAAACCTGCTAGAAATGTTAATAGAATGTGAAAATGGAACAATTGTTGTGACACGTGTAGCAAATATGCTATTGGCGATAAAATGTGAAAATGAAGTACCACTAGGCCTTCTTCGAGCAAAGCTACGTGCACTTGCCGATTACCTTTATACTCCTTTAACTACTGTTTCTTCTAAGGATGGCTAGTGTTGCTGTCATACGAAACATATTTCACCAACCCAGTCTGTATTTGGAAGTGAAATTTGAGTAATTAGTATTTTATGTCAAAACTTGCATTTCTTAAGCTTCCTTGCTATTTTTTTGGGGAAAAAAATACAGTTTTAGTAAAGTAATGGTAGATCAAATAATAGAACAAGTAAATAGTTTTGCGTTTCATCATTGTTGCAAAAATGTTTAGGATAAAGGTAACCAAAATATGTATTATTTTCCTTACCTTTATCCTAAAAAGGTTTTGTATCATTTTTCTTTATTACAAATTTCGTTTATAATTCATGAGTTGATAAACCTTCGTCAGTAGATGATTGCTTGCTATTGAATACTGAATTTGCTAAATTTATTACTTTGTGCGTTTCCAATTGTAAAATTTATTCAGTAGTCAATTGGAAATGCACTATGAATAAGAAGTCATATATTCCTTCAGTTTGAGTTTAATCTTCGACAGGAAAACAACAAATATTTTACACAATGAGTTTGTCTGGCAAATGTTTTGCAATTCAAGCTCAAGTCTACGTCATTTGATTCGTGTTTTCATGTTACGAACTGTTATTTGACTTTTTTTCGTATTTTTGACCCTTTTACTATGAAAAGTGAAGAAAATGCTGAAATCTGTACAGTTCAGTTACATCCGACGAATTTGAACTAAGGCTACATATCTAGCCAGATTAGGATTAATTTAAATACCACATACCTAGCTTCACAAGTGTAGCAAACTTTTCAGGATTGCAATTGTCACGTTGCGAATAGCTTCAAAGTTTTCAAAATTTTATTACATTTAATCAGTACAGTTTAGAAGTCAACATACAGGGAGTGGACAGCTTATTAGTATCAAATTAGGTGAGTGTTTCAATCATTATTATGATCACAGAGTCAGTATTTGAAAAATATACACATGAAGGTTAGATACCAGCTGTTGACAGGTATTAGGCTTAGGCTTTGGGTTTCCATCGGGGTTTTGATTGCTTCAAATCCATTCTTGACTAATCATTAAAAATGGATCGAGATATGCAACCATTTACAAGATCGAGACGTCAAAAAAGGTGATGGGATAAATGGTTTGTCCAAAGTTGGTGACTTCTTTATTTAGTGATATGAATTCCTGAATTGTATTACTGAGGTGCACCACCACCACCACCACCTCCACCTTGTTTCAATCTTGCTTGGGCTTCTTTAATGTAAGGTTCCAGAATTCCCATGTGGTATGCAACACCCAGACCGATCACCATCAACAAAAGTAGGACCATTGCTGCACCCATCGTGTCGACTGATTACTTACTATTATCGTCGAGTTAATCCCAAGAGAAGAAGGTTAGAGTTGCTGAATGTCCCCTCTGCTGGCCAAAATACTGATTCGTTCTTGTTATCTTACTCTTTATATATAAATTCCTGCTTGCATGAAGTAGACATTTGCAAAATTTGCATACTAAGAATCTCATTAACACTTATTTGCTCAAAATTTGGCTACAAAATTGTGATAATTGAATTTATGTAATGCTTACTTAAATATTCAAGCATTCAATCAACAATAACATAAGTGTCATTATCATGATTAAAGTTTGAGGATACTTTATCTAAAAGAGCACTTAAATCTCTAATATTATTCGAATAAATATGTAAATATCAGCTTTATTTGAGAGTGTACTAAGTTTTTAATTTTTTTACGTT